TTTGGGGTGTGGATGCGCTATAGAAGTAACTTTCACATCACACCATTCCGTCAGATGAGAACAATCCAGGAGTTGGCGGTGGATACTGTTGGCTAGCTGCCTTTCTTGTAGTTTATCCGTTCAAAACTAGGGACTTTACCCGCAGATAGCCTTTTGTGTAGCTTTACGCAAAAGATCTGAAACAGTCAAACATTTTCATTTAAACCAAATTTCCATGAATTTATTTTGGCACCTTGTTCTTTTTTACCGGGCGACTGCATGCATACGTTTACCAGAGTGGCATACATGAGATTAGTGCTAAGTGTAATAAACCTGCATGTGGTTTGGGTTTTGATGTGTATGTTTTTTCAGTCAATTTGAATCCACACAGTGCTGATTTCAAGAAGGTTTATTATTGCAACAATATACTTAGGATGATCATGACACGACTGAGTCACGACGTATTTTAACAAATAAAGCAGGAATGTTTTGTTTGTTTGTAATTAACAACAAAACTACACTATGGGCTTTCTGTGGTCTGCCCACCACGGGTATCGAAACCCGATTTCTAGCGTTATAAGTCCGCAGACATACCGCTGTGCTACTGGGGGGGGGGCAGCAGGAATGCATTGACTGCCGTTGTGGAGGCAGCAGGAATACATTTAGTACTGTTGTGGGGGACAGCAGGAATGCGTTTACTACTGTTGTGGGGGCAGCAGGAATACATTTACTACTGTTGTGGGGGACAGCAGGAATGCGTTTACTACTGTTGTGGGGGACAGCAGGAATGCATTTACTACCGTTATGGGGGGGGGACAGCAGGAATACATTTACTACCGTTGTGAGGGATAGCAGGAATGCATTTATTACCGTTGTGGGGGGACAGCAGGAATGCATATACTACCGTTGTACTACAAGAAGTACTGAACAAAAAGTATTTCTACAAATAATTCCAAAAAATAAAAAACAAGTAAATAAACACACTTCCATCTGTCAAGCTGAAGATGTCATTTATACACGTCTCTACTGATTTTATTGAAGTTAAATTTATTGAAAATGTTCAGGAAAACACTTGATTTTTAAACGTTCATACTCAAACTTGTGTCGACTGTAAAAAGATACACTGGCTGGCCACTTTATTAAAACACCCTTTTACTCAAACTTGTGTCGACTGTAACAAGATACACTGACTGGCCACTTTATTAAAACGCCCTTTTACTCAAGCTTGTGTCGACTGTAACAAGATACACTGACTGGCCACTTTATTAAAAACAACCTTTTACTAAAACTTGTGTCGACTGTAACAAGATACACTGACTGGCCACTTTATTAAAACACCCTTTTACTCAAGCTTGTGTCGACTGTAACAAGATACACTGACTGGCCACTTTATTAAAACAACCTTTTACTAAAACTTGTGTCGACTGTAACAAGATACACTGGCTGGCCACTTTATTAAAACAATCTTTTACTAAAACTTGTGTCGACTGTAACAAGATACACTGGCTGGCCACTTTTTTAAGACACCCTTTTACT